AGCAATATCCAACTCCTCAAATAATGACTTCAGCCACACCATTAGTCATAGATTTATATTCAGCTTCAGCACTAGAACGAGAAACAACAGTTTGTTTCTTACTCCTCTAGGAGACAAGGTTACCTCCTACAAAGAAACAATATCCGGAGGTAGACCTTCTGTCATCAACACTCCCAGCCTAATCAGCATTTGTATAGACCTCTATCTTCATGTGATCATTATTCTTGAATAATATACCTCTACCTGGACATCTCTTCAAGTATGCTAATATTCTCTCAACTGCAAGGAGGTGAGTAGCTCTAGGAAAGTGCATATATTGATTGACAACGTTGACTACATAACTGATGTCCGGTCATGTGAGACAAAGATAGAGGAGTTTTCCAACCAACCGTTGGAACATAGCTTTGTCTTCAAGAGGCTCTCTACCCTCTGCACTGATCTTGTGATTTTGTTCAATAGGTGTATCTGCAGGCTTAACACCCAACTTTCCAGTTTCTGCTAATAGATCTAGAATATACTTCCTTTGAGAAACAAAAATCCCATGTTTAGATTTAGCAACCTCAATACCCAAGAAGTATCGTAGCTCTCCTTGATCTTTCACCTCAAACTCTTGATGAAGGAGTTGTTTAAGAGACTCAATCTCACTGTTATCATTCCCTGTCACTACAATATCATCCACATATACAGCAAGCAAAGTCAAGGAAGAGTCCACTCTTTTAATAGGGTAATAGGGTACCTCCTCAAAGAAAGTAACATCTATCGAGACAAATCTCCTCCCAAAAGTAGGTTCATAGCAGCCATAACCCTTTTGAGTGTGCATAACCGAGAAAAATGCATTTGGAGGCCTTAGGATCAAATTTGGAACGATGAGGTCCAAGAATCTGAACAAAGCAAGTGCAACCAATGGTTTTAAGGGAAACAATAAATAATTCTTTATCGGGGTATAGAAGGATAAAGGGAGGCTTCATGTCAAAAACCCGTGAAGGAACTCGATTAATGAGATACACTACTGTAAGAATAGCATCACCCTAGAAACGGATAGGCACATTGGAGTTAAACATAATGCTTCTAGCCACCTCCAATATGTGCCTATTCTTMCWCTCARCAACCCCATTCTRYTGTGGTGTATAAGGACAAGTACTCTGGTGAATAATCTCATGATCAAGCAGATAAGAGGCCAATGGCTTGGTAAAGTATTCTTTCGTATTATCGAATCTGAAGATTTTGATTTTGACCCCAAATTGGGTTAAAATCATCTGATGAAAGATCTGGGTCAGAGTAGGAACCTCATCTCGAGAACGCATAAGGTAAACCCAAGAAAAACGGGTATATTCATCAACAAACAACAAGAAATATTTGTATCCCCCCATAGAAGGAATGTAATACGGGCCTCAAACATCGGTGTGCACAACATGAAAAGAATTACTACTTTTTTTATTATTCAAGGAATAAGATGTTCTACAATGCTTTGCAAGCTCACAACTCTCACATCTCAAATTTGACATCTAAACAGATTCAAACAAATTTGGAAACAAACACTTCAAAGACCGAAAGGATAAATGACCTAACCGATTATGCCAAAGCATAACCTAACTAATAGACTGAGAAACCAAAGACTTCCTATCTTCATGATCTTTCCAATGAGAACTCTCTCCAAGCAGATAGATCCCATTCGTCTCACGGCCAGTCCCAATCACCTTCCTTGTCTCCAAGTCCTGAAAAATACATCGGTTAGGGAAAAAAGTTACTGAACAATTCTGATGTTTTGTAATACTACTGACTGAAAGCAAGTTAGTATCAAGCTTAGGAACATGCAGAACTGAAGATGAGGAAATTGTATTAGACAACTTGATGTCTCCCTTGTCAGAAATGAGAACAAGGGAACCATCAGCAAYGGACACTTTATCTCTACCAGAAGATAAGTGATAGGTAGTGAACAGTGATGGCAAGCTAGTCATATGGTCAGATGCACCTAAGTCTATTACCCAACAATGTTCAGTGTTACCTGGAGCTGAAGCATGGTAAGTTGAGGCCCGAGTACCTGAATGAGCAAAGGCTGATGTGGAAGAAGCTGATGATATGATTGAGCTGAATTCCCAACTTCCTTTTCCAACTAAGTTAGGGCAAACCGAACAACAGCTAAGGTGTCTAGAGGCGTGCCTTTTGTGCCCAATGAGGATGCATAATTGGTATTAACAGCCATATGGGCATTACCCCTTTTGTTCCTCAGTTTTGTTGGGACTAGATGAGGGTGCAACTTCCAACATGTGTCTTTAGTATGCTTAGGTTTCTTGCAATGTTCACACACTAGATCCCGCTTATCTTCCTTCTTTATATCCTTCTCTGTATCACCCCCATACTTAGGTTTAATTTCTGCCAAGGCTGGTGGGAAGGGCTGATGCTGCATCATAACCTTTCTCCTAGTCTTTTCACTATGCACCAAGGAGTAGGCTTGAGATAAGGTCACACTGTCCCTTGTTAGTATTTGCTGTCTCACAATATCATAGTCAGGATTCAGACCAGCTAGGAATTCAAAAACCTTATTAGTTTCAACTTGCTTTCTATGAGTTTGTGCATCCTTCTGACTTTCCCACTCAAGTGTTTCTAGGTGGTAAATTTCATGCTACAAAGATTTCAAAGTAGAGAAGTAAACCAAAACTGGTTTCTCTCCTTGCTTAAGGTTATTAACCTCACACTTCAATTCATAGGCCCTAGCAACATTAAGGGGTTGGGAGTAAGTCTCTTTCATAACATCCTAGATTTCCTTGGCTGTTTTTGCCCACAAATAGTTCCGGCTGATATGTGGTTGCATAGAGTTGCACAACCATGTCATAACCAAATAGTTCTCCTGAACCCATTTGGTATACGTTTGGTCCTCCTTAGATGGTTCTTTCACATCTCCCAACAGGTAGGCAAGTTTTCCTCTACCCCCAATAGCCATCATGGCCGATTGAGCCCATTCTAAGTAGTTGGATCCATCAAACTTCATAGTTGTAATCTGAAAGGCATTCTCAGACATGTTACCAGAATTGCTAGTCCCAAAAACACCTTCCCCCTGATTCTTGAACTCCATTCTTGGTCAAGAATTAACAACAAAAAACTTTTGAAGCTACTGTAATAGAAAACAACACCTAAACAACTGATAACAGCCAGCCTAGGTCTTCCAAAAATAAGGAAAAACAGAATTCTGTATGAAACCAGTTCAAATCTGATCTGAAACCAACAATAGTTCTGAATTTTAGGGTTTTTCTCTCGAAACCCTAGAAAGAAAAAAAGGTTTTCCAGCCGCACCTCTCAGAATAGACCAAGATGATTCTTTCAAGGTTATTCTCAAGCAAAAAATTACTTTATGAAAGAAAATCTCTGGCTGATGCAGAACCCAATCTTGGGGATCCAAAGCCTTTTCTAATTCTTCCTGACTACTGGAACTCTCCCAGCCTTTTACAATCTTCTTAGTAGTAGCCACACACTACCAGTAGCCTCCAAGAATCAGCCGATCCTCCTTCTTTGTTGAAAAACTTCTAAACCTAGGAAATTATCATGTAGTCAATTTAATTAGACTAACATAAGACCTCCTTCTCTGCAACCAGTTTTAGGTTTTGAACAGAAATTCTGATCGCCACCTTTAGTCTTGATAAAGAAACTGATTTTGTACTCTTTATCTTCCTCTGATTCTTCCTGATTATCAAGAACACAATCCACTCTTTGGACAGCTGCTACAGTCTCTGATAACCTCCAAGAATCAGCCGAAAAGGGATCCTCTTAATCTTCCAGCCCTAGGCAACTCTCATGTGGTTGGCTGGATCAGACTCACATGAGAAACCCTAATCCTTGCTCTGATACCAAATAATTGATCAAGACTACAATCAGTCTTGAATTCGAAAGCAAAAAAGGAAAGATTTCAGAAGAAAAGAAGAAGAGAGGGAGAAAAGAAAAAGCACACGAAGGGTTTTAGAAAAGAGAGAGAGGGTTGATCTTAATGATCTGCCGACCCACTCTTAATATTTATATATGTTGACCAACTGTAAAAGGGCTGAATTGCCCTTATTGTTTACATGGCAAATAAACTAATAATAAAGATGAAATAATAAGATGTAACAACAAACTGAAATAACTACCAACTAACACTGACATAACTAACAAAGAAAATATGCTATGCTGCCATACAAACACAGTGGGGACCACAGAAGTGGGGTCCACATCAGTGTTCTCTACAGGGAGATTAGCAAATGCTATGGCTGATGTGTTAGCCAAACAAGGGGCAAATAGGGAAGAATTGTTTTGGGCTCAGCTGTGATTTATGTAATTTATTACTAGCTTACTTGTGAGCTATTGGGAGAGGCTGCAGCCTGTGCCTCTCCATGCGATGTTGTATGAAATTACATTTCTAAAGCAGTTTCTGAATTAATAAAATTTCTATTATTCATCAAAAACAGAACAAAACCAATACATACCTACATATTTCAGTTTTGAATTATCTTATTAATTAATGCTGCTTTATATATACATAAATTTGGTTGCTATGTCTCACACACAAGACACTCAATGGAAGATAAAAGTTCTACCAAGTATAATATCGAAGTTTGTCAAAATGACATGTGCTTTACGTTTGTGCTATCATTTCTCCTATTTCTTTTTTCTTTATTAATAATGGTAATGCCTGTGCTGTATTGTTATTAGTATTATTCAAATGTGGAAGTCTTGTGCCTTAAGAATGATCTGTTGCTCTAGAAATGACATTTAGTTAGGATTATCATCATCTCTCTAGGACATGGTTTTCCTCTTTTCATGTTCCAAAAGTACGTCAGACTACATACTTTAGTTTTATATGTTTATGACTAACTAGTATTGTTCTTGTTGAATCTTTCAACTATATTTTATGTAAGAAAAGATGAAAGCTTCTCTGTTAGTTTCTAGAAAACCTTTTTTCTAAGATTTCATTCTTTCAACTTGGTACTTCTATTTTAACATCTAACCATATTATCACTCTGCAAATTCAGTATTTGAAGCTGAGAGCACTTCAGCGGCAATCTTATACTCATTATTTCTATGAAGCAACTGTTGGAGCTGGCCTCCCGATCATTAGCACATTGCGAGGGCTCCTAGAAACTGGTGATAAGATTTTGCGCATTGAGGGCATTTTCAGGTTAGCTGCCCTGCCAACTACATCTTCCTGTTTTATTTTGGTTTCCTTTTCAGCAAGTCAAAACATTTGCAATGAAAGTCTTTAATAGGGTATTTGATCCATTTACCTTTCATGTACCCAAGTTGTTCTGTCTTTGATTGATTTGATTTGATTTTTTCTCTTTGTGATATGCTATTGCAGTGGGACTTTGAGCTATATTTTCAACAACTTCATCGAAAAACGAGCTTTTAGTGAGGTGGTGGCAGAAGCAAAACAAGCTGGTTATACTGAGCCAGATCCTAGGGATGATTTATCTGGAACTGATGTTGCAAGAAAGGTGATTACATGTTCTATTTTCCATAGAAAAATATTCACAGTTAGATATTTGTATGTTTAAAATGGGGATTTCATCTTCACTTCTGTTTCATCAACTGTTTTGTATTTGATGGGCAAGGCCATTCAATCACCGTGCACATTGTATTGGTTATTTCCATCTAAAAGTTGAATATTTTAATTTAGAAAAAAGAAACACATTATTTTAGATGCTTGGCAAAGGTTTTTAAGCTCTTTAACATAGGGTTATAAAGAATCCCAAGGTTGTTTGACTTTCATGTGGGACACAAAAAAAAATGTAATCATATGGAAGATCCTTAGGTTGTCTGAATTTATTATGACATCTGTTCTTGTTGCAGGTCATAATTCTTGCCAGAGAATCTGGTCTAAAGCTAGAGCTTGAAGACATCCCAGTACAAAGCCTTGTGCCAGAACCATTAAGAGTAAGAATGAAATAATCACTGGTCAATGAACTTTGGAGCTCTTTAGCTTATCATGAAATTAATGTTCTGTTAACATGTTGCAGGCTAGTGCATCAGCTGAAGAATTCATGCAACAGCTTCCTCAATTTGACCAACAAATGGCAAAGAATCGGCAGGATGCTGAGGCTGCAGGCGAAGTGAGTATCTCCTAGTATCTCTTATATAGTGAGACCATGAAACTAACTTATGTCCATACATGGGAGTCAATACTATTCACTGTGATGAATTCCTAATCTTTAATATGGAAATAGTTTGTTTAGTAGGTTAGCATGGCTTGAGGGATTTAGACCCCTCAGCAGCTTCACATTCTGAACCCTTGCTTATATTTTGTTTGTGTACGTGCACACATGCTTGGGTTGGAATTTATCTACCATCTAATGAGGTATTTGATATTGAAGGTGTTGAGATATGTTGGTGTGGTGGATGTGGTTAATCGAATAGGGCGTGTAGAGTTGAGGAGATACAAGAATGATCACCCATTTGCTCAGTTATCTGGGTCTGATAACATCATTGCTTTTACAACATCAAGATACAAGGAACAACCACTCATTGTCCGTGGGCCAGGTGCTGGTGCCCAAGTTACAGCTGGTGGAATATTTAGTGATATATTGCGGCTTGCCTCCTATCTCGGTGCTCCTTCATAGGTTATGAACTGTTTCACCCATCATCCTATTGTATGATCTGATTTTGTTCATCAAGAAATTGATGTTGCAGCTATCTTGGAAGGTGTTATTACTATGTTTGCATGTGAACTTTTATTTCTAGTTTCATTTATGCATCTATTTGCGCAAAGTTGTGAATTGAATATATCCTAGTTTTTAGGATTAATGAGTGAAGAAGGGTCGGTATGTTTTCTGTGAAGCTTTGTGAAACTCACTAGTTTTTAGCCTTCAAATGGGTTTGTTGCTCCCGTAATATTCCAAGATATTGTTCAATAGGATTGTTGTTTAAAAAGATATACTCATTCTGCATTAAAGAGAGAACAGTTGCCCCTTGTAAATGTCTCCCACGGGTGGATCTTTACAATCACCACCACCCAGTCACATTACGGAAGCCATTATCTCCTTGCTTTGCCATCTGTTATTGCGTTGGCATTGTCACCATTAAGGTTTTTCGTGTTTTCTTTTATTTATGTTTTATTATTTACAGAAGAACAATGATTTATAGTTTAAAAAGAAAATAGTAAAACCAAAAGATTGGCTTTGGAGCTATACTGTCTTCTCAGGTTATAAGCATACGAGTCTTTTAAGGGTGTCTCCTTCCGTTCTCTGGAGCTGGAAGCTGATATCAGATCAGATGTGGGTGTTCTGAGTTAACTGTACGTACTGGACAGTGGTTATGATGCTGAACTATTATAAAACTTGGATATGAAATAATGAATAACATGGTCAATCATCTGACAATGCTGACTCTCATTTCATGCATTCAATTCTTAGCCATAATGGATTAATGGCTATTTGTGGTGTTTTTACTTTTTACTTTTTATTGAAAGCTGAAACTGTAAACAATTGTGCTTTTTTGGTGTTTGTTCGTCATAGCAGATGGGCCTTCCCTTTATGGTAGATAATATGAAATGGGGCACGCATTATAGATTAAAATCAGATGAATGTGAGATTGGGCTTTCACTTTCAGTTAAGAGTATGAGAGTTTCTGCATAGTATGAGAGTTTGATCACATGAAGATGTCATGTGATCAAAATGCATAGATTGCAGGTAGAGTATGAGAGTTTCTATGAACGTTGGGAGTCTAAATTGGATTCTGAATCAAAGATGTGTAAGGACATTGGTTAGGTTTTTAGGAGGTAAGGGAGATGGAGCACATAAATGAGAGAAGACAGATAAAGCACAGAAATGGTAGCAAATCTTTGAGACAACAGAAATAAAAAACACTCCATTTTCTTGCGATTTCAGGCTTTTCTGTGTTTAAGAATTCAAAGGATCGAAGACATTATTTACTTTGTCTACGTGTTTAGCTCAAATCTTGATAGGCAAAAGTTTGTGACCTAGGGCTTGGAGCTATAGTAATCGTTAAAGCTTGAACCATAATCGTATTTGTCAAGGAGAAAGTCCCTCCAAGAGGATTAATGATGCCGGGTTGATCTTATTTCATATTATAATTAATTGATGTGCTTTGCTGAACATTCATTTGGATGTTGGAGAAAAAAAATTCAAAACCCTTGAAATCTCTGAATGGTAAAGCACAAATCAAATTGCTGAATTGCATTCGACCAAGCTATTTTTTTAACGTAGAAACTCTTAGGTAGGGATCAACGTCAACCTAGTGATGTTCCTGATTTTTATTTTTCCAGGACCTGATTAGCACTTGGGAGACTACATTGAAACAAGTGATTAGTGAGATGCCCTGTCTGGGAGACTACAATTTTTTTTTTGAAGCTCGTCTGGGAGACTACATTGAAACAAGTGATTAGTGAGATTATTTGGTGGGGTTTTTAATTGGCGTTTGGAAGTTTGAAGCTCCAAAGCTGATTAGACCTTAGTGGGGTAATGGCTCTAAAGTCTGGAACAGTGAGCCATGAACATATTCGCTTCTAGTTAATTCCTAATAATCAGAAGACAGTTTGCTTTCTATATTTATTTTCAAACGTTTCATTGTTCCCTGCCAAGTATAATTGTGTCACTAGCAGAAGCTTATAATTTCTGGAAACGAGACTGGTGCTTGACATATCATCCAGCTTCTTGAGGATCAATAGCATTTCGTTGTGTTAAGACTTCTGCCGCACTAATGTGAAGAAACACTGCATCCAGCAGGAATGGGCATTAGTGTCTGTAAGCCTTCAGTAGGATACATTATAGGAACTGAGCTTAAGTGAATGACTCCAAAGGAAGACCTCGATTTCCAGAACTTGAAAATGATTTTGACTTTTTCATCTACTCATACATGGAAGAAGATTAATTTGAGGTAGGATCTGATAATACATATATGAAGGTTCAAAGAATGCAATAGATTGAAATGCAAAGGTGTAAACATTTAATACCCATCAAAGGGTAGTTAAATCAAGGTAAAACCTTTCATGAATTAATAAACAATTATCGGGCGTTTTCCCATGCGAATTGTTTTTTCTTGTTATGGGTTCCAAAAACTAATCAAAACCATATGGTTTGATTAAAAGTTGGTTCTTAAAAAAAAATACAGAAAGAATGTTATTGGTTGTATATGTGTTTGTTTCAATACTAGCACGACAGAAAATTAAAATGTATTCTTGGCTTTTATGTTTTGAATAATTTAAATATGTACAATAAAATAAAAAATTCACCTGCAATATTTGATGGTTTGGGATGTTGAGGACTGGTTAAGAGATCCATGGAAAGAATTCTTTTTTGTATTAGCCTGTCTTCAAAGGAAGTTGCAGGGACTCTGGGCATTCGCCAACCAACAATGCTTCAAATCCTCTCTGAAAGATGGTGCCTCTTTTCTTGAATCTGTTTTATCCACGGTCCAAATTTATGTTATGAAAAGTCCATCTAAATCTATTCCAAGCAATTTCTTAATGGTCATATCATCTTTCCACACAATAGCTCTCCAAATAAATCAGAATATCAGATGAATAAATCAGATTGGCAGCTGGCACACTACCAATCTCAGTGCAAAAGAATTAAAGGGAACTTTCAAAATGGAAAATAGTATATCTTACTGACAATCGTAAATCTATTTTCTTGTCACATATTTAGTAATTAATAAACGTTTGATGATTCTCTTCTCTGTCTTTCTTTACTAAATAAAAATTTTCCTAGGCAGTGTCTAGAGCTAACTTTCGCTGAGGCTGTTTTTGGTTTGAAAGAAAGGAAGTAGTCTTTCCTTCCTTTCCCTACCTTTTCTTTCAAACCAAACACAGCCTAAGAGTAGCCAAATTTTCTCATACTGCAATTTCTAAGAGTTTGTAAGGGGAAAAAATGCTTATGTGGTTTTGCATTTCTTTTCTGATTGTAGAATGTTGGATTAGTTTAAAGATGGGATAAAAATATTGGCTTCAGAAAAGTAAACAAATAAATATACTACTGGTTTTCAGTCTATTTATATTAGTAGTAAAAAAATAATCTCAAGCAATGTTAATTAGAGACTTGGTCACTTGGGTTGTAATAAGGAAATGCAAGAATAAATGTAGTTTTTGTTGAGAATATTAAAAAAAAATAGATTCCCAACCTTGAAATCAAATGCCTTCTATTTAATGAAAACACAAATTGAACTAGGACAATCTATTGAACTTCAAAAATTTTGTTTCTGAAAAAATAAAAATGAAAACAAATAAACTTCAAGAAATAAATAAAATGATGAACCTGATTGCTGCTTTGATGTCAGCCGACGAGACTCCTTGGTCTGTACTCTGTAGTCACCATGGAAGTTGAGAAGTCACAATCATGAAGGCTCATTTAGCATTTACAGCCATGGATTTGTGTAAGAGAAGTCTTGACTGAACAGTAGACATAAATGGTATTAGCGTAGATGGGATTGTAGAGAGGTGCGGTAGCAAATGTGTGAACAGGACTCACTTTTGTAAGAGAAGTCTTGGACAAGTTTCTCCCGTTGTTCCATTCACAGAATGTCCTAGAAGAGGACACCCACTGATTACTAAAAGCTCAAAGGGAAGTCCTGGCAAGGACTCGAGCTTTGGAGCATTAAAAATCTTCAGTGTTTTAAGAGAGATAGGTAGCTGCCAGTTTTCATCATCTTTTGGAAATGACTTGAGACCTGAACAATCACATATAGACAATGCTTGAAGAGAAGTAAGTTTATGTAGGCCAACACCCTTGGGTAGGAGGAGTTCTCTATTGTCCTCAGCATATCCGTTGATCTCAAGTTCAATTAGTTGGGTGGGCAATCCTTCATCTGGAAAGGCCATTAGGCGAGGACACTCTCTGATGCTTAAACCTTCAAGAGATGTGATGTTGTGCATTCCTTTAGGTAGGGATTTGAGTTCCTTACATTCTTCTATGTCAAGATGTTTTAAATTCTTGGTTGGAAATCCTCCATTGGGAAAGGCCATTAGGCGAGGACAACTTGTGATATATAAAATTTCAAGAGATGTGAATAAACTGTGCATCCCTTCAGGTAGAAATTTCAGTTCCTTACATTCCCTTATCTCCAAGTATTTCAAGGAAGGGGATGGGTAACTTCCAATGCCTTTAGCTTGGGACAACTGGATATCTCAAGCCTCTCTAGACGAGGAAACACTACTTGACATCTCTTCGCATATGCAGAAGATGAGGAGGATTGTTGTAGGCCAGGGTCACCTTCTACTTGGTCTATGTTTGCTCTACCTGAGCTTGAGGCTAAGGACCATTCTCCTCCTCCCCAATTGTCCATTTCACTTATTATTAGCTGTTGGAGATGGGGTAGGTTTCCAATGAGGAAATCTTAAACCATAATACCCCTTGATACTGAGAGTCTGTAGTTTTGCATTAGGTGGATGAAGACACTGGATTATTTGTTGGGCCACAGTTGCTGCTCTTTCTCCAACTTCAATCATGTTATCCCATTCTAATGTCAACTTCTCAAGGTCATGATTTCTTATCTTGAAATTGACATCTGCGATGTTGTTGACAGCAGCAACATTCTCTAGTCCTGAAATAAGAACTCTCTGTGCCCTGATGCACTTGGCATACAACTTCAATTCATCTCTAACTCCATTCCTTGGAATTCTACACTTGTACGAATCCATCTTGATAAGTCGAATGTGAACGAGCTTCTGCTCATGTTTTCAGGTAATGCAGTTGTCCAGAAAGACAAGCCATAAAGCAATAATATTTGTAAACGATAGAGGCTACAAATTGACTTTGGTAAACTTCTAATCGTAGACCATGAAAGGTCAAGGCATCTTAGTAATTTTAAGTTACCAATCGAGTCTAGCAACCCATCATTACCTAGTTAACATTGAGCAAGCTCAACACACGCAAGTATCTCCATGTATCATATAAATTACCAAGCTTTGCGACTTGGCATGTAATGATAGCTTTGCCTAGCAACAGAGATGTGCGTGGTGAACTACACTTATTCTTAACTAAATGGTCCAAAGCATTATCATCTATTGGCTTTGTAGCAAACAATGACAAATGGCGTGCCTTGTTAGGAATGTTAATATTTCTGTTATTCCTCAACCACTTATCATCTTCATCAACTCGAAAGCATATATTCTTTGAAATGGATTGTGCTAAATCATGAATACGATCATGCATCACAAATGATTTGTTGTTTCCAGAATATTGGAAAAATGACCTGAAACATAGCTCATCAAAATACTCACTTCCTATGTCCTCCATTTGTTTTGTTCCTCCTTTGGAACCTACAATAAATCCCTCCCCCATCCAGTATAAAACCAACTGCTCCTTGTCAAATACGTAATCTTTGGGAAAGATGGAACAATAAGCAAAGCAACGCTTCAGATGCGCTGGGAGATGCTGGAAACTCAATCGCAGTGCTGGCATTATACCCTCACTTTCATTTTTTAGTTCCCACATTTCACTTTTCAACACATATTCCCAATCCTTCTCTTCAACTTTAAAACGTAAGAGGCCTCCCAGTGTCTTCACTGCAAGAGGTACACCCTTACATCTTTCCACTATTTTCCTACCGATTGCTTCCAAATTTGGATTTGCATTCGAAAGAGCATCATCTACAGCTGCCCTTTGCTTTAATAGTGACCAACAATATTTATCTTCTAAACCACCTAAATGGTAAGCAGGAAGGGTACCCTTGTTTAATGAAACCCTTTCAGTTCTTGTGGTCACCATAACTCTACTTCCTTTTTCCCCAAACTGGAATGGTTTCTGTAGTTCTTCCCAGTCCTCCAGTTTCTCGTTCCAGACGTCATCCAGAACGATTAAAAATTTCTCCCCGCTCAACATCTTCTTGAGTTTTCCTTGGAGTGCTTCTAGACTTGTGAGACTACAAGTTTCCATAGTGGCAGACTCGATGATAGCTTTTGTTATCTTAGCATTGTCAATTTCTTCAGACACACAAACCCATGCTCTGAGTTTGAAATGCTTCTCTACTCTCTCGTCGTCATGATATACAGACTGAGCAAGCGTAGTTTTGCCCAGCCCACCCATACCAACTATGGGAAGCACTCCATAATTTCTTTCATCACTTGGACCATCCCAACTCAACAGTTTGAAAATTATGTTGTTCTTATCAGTCTCTCGACCATAAAAACAAGATTCATCTAGAATGGAAGTAGTTGGCGTTCTCTTTGTAATTTCATCACTCATCCTCCCTTCTACATGGATCCTTTCCAATCCTAGTACAATCATTCGATTTTTAAGTTTCTCTAGCCTTTCGTTGATCTTCTTTATCTCAAAATTTATCTGATCTTTTAGTTCATGCGGGATGGAGCGGCGTACCTGGTACTGTTCAACATAGATTTCAAACTCGGCCAATGTGTCTTCGGCATCATAAGCCAGATCACTGAGTTCATTTAGCCATTTCTTCACTGCCTCCTTTTTGGTCCGTTGTTGCTCGGCATCCATGAGCAGAGTCTCGATCATCAGCAACGATTCCTCTAGTTTTTCGAGATCTGCATCAATTCCCCAATCAGGTGCAGAATCCTTGATAATTGGGCTATCCAATTTGTCCAAAACACCTTGAAAGAAGCTGATAGAATTGGTTCTCCCACTCAAGCCATGATCTTGAGTTGAACTTCGACAGAAGGAAATAAGAGATTCAAGAAGGAAGCAAAGATGGGTTGGCAGTTGGCACTTGGCAGATTCGATTGGTGACATCTTCTCTCCCTTCCACGAAGGGGCATTAATAGTTGACTCTCGTGTCACTTCCACTGTCTATTGTGTGTGGCATCGACTTTGACTTTAACTTGATCTTTTCTTTGGATCACCACAAGTTAAGTTACCCAATCAGAATTACCAGGTGATATATCGCAACCGTTGATGTGGAATATGAAATTTAAGCCCAATTGAAAGCTTGCACGTAATCTAAAATTGTTCCAAACATGGTTGATTCAAAATTGGAGGGACAGATGTTTGAATTTTGGAGGCTATTAAACCAAGGTTTTAAAAAACCGTTTTGGGGACCGGTTCACGGGTCATTCGGTTCAAACAGACGGTCAATCTGATTAAATAAATTTAAAATAATTAAAATAAAATAATGGCCAAAAACCATTATTCGGGTCAATGGATCAATGGTTCAGATCGTTAACTAAATCAATGATTTTATGATGAACCAGAACTAGTTGTTTGATTGGTTTTCGAGTCAACTAGTCCGACCATCCGGTCCAATCCAGTTTTCAAAACCATAATTAAAACTAAAACAAACAAAAACACAGAAGATAGTAACCAGTCTGGCACCTGATGTACTTGCAAAGTAAAATTCCTAGGTCTATAAATAAAAGTGTATAAGAAAAAAAATCTAAACACAGTAGTATTTGGTCAAAAAAACCATTAGCTCATCTAAACACATTGAATTTTTTGTAGGACCACTTCTGCATCTGAAACAAAACAAATAGATCTCCATGCCTGATCTTTAGCAAATGAAACAACTTTCGAAACAAACAGATCTCCATTCAATTATTTCATTGAATAGATACAGATTGGAGCTGGTTGGTTGAATATACAATGCATGCGTACGTATGGATTGTTAGGAAATGGAGTCACTGTAATTTTTGAGGAGAAGCTCTGAGGCGTATATGAAGATACTGTCTTTAAAATGTTATTTGTCTCCACTCAGTTTCACTGAGTTTGTTGTTGGGTTACAAGCAAATCCGTTCCCAGGATGCAACAGAGCCTTGGGCAAGAATCTGCAACCAGTAAAGTTGAAGAATCTCCGAAAAAACATTCTATGAGACTGTAGCAGACCGGACTAAGAGAAAGAGAGAAAGTGGATTTCGAAAAATGTGTGTTTTTGAAGTTTGATTCATGTTCCTTAAATAGTTTATGAAGAGGTATGAAGAAAATGTAGGTGTTAATTCAGAAAAGGCACCTTGAGCAGTCACAGTTTCAAGCATTGTGACTGTTTAAAAGGTAGTTAATAGTTAATGACTATTAATTTTGAATTGTGCCTCTTGATCACACCCGATCGAATGGTGACCATTGATCTTATCAACGGTTAGCATCGCACTAAAACCAAAGCCACCATTCGCGAGCCACGCGGGCGCACGTTGCACAATATCAAATCCCCATACTCTCATCTACTATTTCTAAGGAGTGTAAATCAGCTCCTATTAAAATATTGAAAACAAAGTTTATAATTTTCCAATGTAAGACATTCAAAATTGGGTTTTGTAAGAGAATAACTAATTTTCCAAACAAGTGTGCAGGTGCAATTTCTCATGTAATTGACCAATCAAATCCATTGGATTTAATCTCTTATGAGATTAAAATCCAACATGGATATTAAATGTACAGTGAAGTTGGTTGGTTGCTAGTCACTTGTTTAGATACATATTGGTTGAACTTTCCACAAGTTTTTATTTATACACTACAAGAAAAATCAGTTTTAGCAACGGATAAAATCGTTGCTAAAATCCCCAAAAAAACCGTTGTTAAAGGTTGTAGCAACAGCTTTTTGTCCGTAGGAGATATTTCCGTGGCTAAAAGTTATAGCAACGGATATTGTACACCGTGGTTAAAAGTATACATATAGCCACGGTTTTAACTGTTGCTAATTGCAACATTTGTTGCAATAGTTTTATTTTGTACCGTTGCTACAAATTGAGATAGTAACGGGTTGTTCATGGCTAAATGTGTATGAATAGTTAGCAATAGCAACGGTTTTATTATGTACCATTGCTACAAATTGAGATAGCAATGGGTTTGTCTGTGGTTAAATGTGTATGAATAGTTAGCAATAGCAACGGTTTTTAACTGGATGATACGTTTAGCAACGGTTTTTTAAACCGTTGGCAAAAGTGTTTATTTTTAACTCAAATGTTGGATGGTTTACATTGCAACTTTAGATAAACATTTACTTTCACTTGTATCTATATCTATATGATGGATGCTTTTACAAATAAAACCTTTACACATTTACACAAAATATCCATAATAATCTTTGTTTAATATTCACATTTACACAAGTATTTTCATTACAAAAAAGCAATAAAAGAGAATTGACAAAATTATCCTCGTTGCATCTGAACATTTGCTTATATACATGTGCAACACACTCAAGACATTTTCTTTGGATCATAATCTTAGGTCTGCCAAAAAGAATAAATACATAAGGATGTTCCCAGCTTCCCACAACAAAATTGCCATCCCCAAATTCAGTCACTGAGGAGCAATTTGCAATTCATCAATCTTGTGCCACTGTCAAATGATTGCTAGCTTCTTAGGATTCAAAAGTTTGAATAATTTCATAACTAAAAATGGGAAATAAAAAATTATTGTAATCTGATTTTTGAATGCTCAAAACAACTTTTGAATGTTCAGTAATTTGTTTTTGATTGTTGTAAATAATATGGAAAAATCTCCATTCCTAAGGGTGGATGCTTACCCCTAGAGAAAAGGACTCATCAGATGAGCTAAGCTGCCTGCGGTCAAAATCAATGTCGTCCCCACCCTCTTCTGCATACGCTTTCTTCAACAGTGGCTCCCCTTTAGGCTTAGGAGAGCTGAAGCTCAGCTTCCTCTTCCTCCAAGCCAGGATGCTTTGCTTTGAACTGGACTGATCAACTAATGCCACTGGGTCCTCAACATGCAAGCAGCCCACATATGATTTGTGGTTGCTGTAGTAAATCAAGTGTCCTTATAATCCCCATTGATCCTCTTGTCAAAGTAAAATGATCCCCCAGCAAAATTAGCAAATGCCAGTTTTCCATAGCTGAATGACTTCCTAACACTAGAATCTTCCTTCCCATCCTCTAGCTCTCTTTCATCAAAATCATCAAGGGAGTCTGTGTCAAATGGGTATGTATATTCACCATCCTTACTCCTTGCAGAGCATTTCCCCTCTCTGTCCTCTTCCTCACAGCATGTCCTCTTCCTCATCTCTCTCCATTGAGATTGATTCTCTAGACTGAGGTGACAGTAAGCTGAGTGATAACTGTGACAAAAATAAAGCTCATGGTCATAATTGAAAGAAAAGAAGAGTATACAAATTGTGCAATGTTTAATAATGTTGTTCCAACAATAGGGAACCTTGTTCTTTGGCCCTAGTTTCAAAACTTGGATAAAGAAGAAAACAAATCAAAACTAAATCAATCTAAGTTATCCTAAATTAGAAAAGAACTAACCATTTATACCATTTACATTATCAAAACCAAGCAAGACAAAGCTAGAAAAAGCACTAAGAAGCACAAGTTTGTCTATAAAAATACTTTCTTTCTTGATCAATGTAGCATTCAAAAATAAAACGCATGACCATTACTTCAAAGTTCAAACTTGAACTCTGCAATATTAACAAAGAAACAGAACTGGTAGTGTGGCACAAACAGAAAAGTAAAAGGGTGAAAAAACAGAATGAAAACATTAACCAAAAACAGAAAAAATACAAGTCCAGATAATACTTCGGAGTATACTTTTTGTTAGTTTTTGTTCAGACAGCATAGGTTTTTGTAGAACACATGCATTAGAGGTATCTTCCATATGAAGAGAGAAATCCCATGATATAACACTAAATTTTCAAGGCAGTCATTGAGATTGTGACCACCAAAGTCATTCATTTGGTAATAAACATGGATTAATTCATTTGCTATTACTAGGCATGCATATCTGTCAATGGAATGATATTTACATGGGTTTGCTCCTTTTAATCAATAGATATATATGGACTTCCTAATAAAAATGTATTTTCCTCAATTAAAACATGAAACTTTTCTGGGGACTACATAGAAAAGACCCCAATATGTTGCATTGAGACCAATATAACACAACTGAAATATAAGTGCATTGGGCAGAAGTGTATCCTGGCTCTATTAAGAATAACCAACTATTGATGCAACATAGCCCATGGCCATGTACAGTTTACCAAACTGCACAGAATTCATATTAATTGCATGCAGAAGCATCTCCCTATACTCTGCATTTGACTCTTGTCTTTTTTTTTTTTTGAGAGAGAGAGATTTAACCGAAGGTTGATATAAGTGCAGAATACAAAAATAACTCAACACATTCACAAAGCTTAATATAATGAAAGATTAATACATTTAAGAATCTCTCAATGATATTATGTCTTTGTTAGCTGGCCCCGAGGTTCTATTTTGACACATGGACTGGGCCTGAAGCACATAGGTTATTCCAGAAAATTGTACAGAATGATATCAAATCCATCATTTACCTTTTGTGTTCCTACTGCATCATCTCTTTCTCTTATGTTCCTTTCAAGCTGATTCCACTCCTCTTGATCACGTAACCTGGCTTCCACTGACTGCATGATAGAAAATTTGACAATAAATATTTATATTTAAAGAAGAATATGACCCTTAATTTCACAACAAATAAAAAAGTCATGTGTCAAGTGGAGAAGCCAAATTAGGAAGCAAAATCGTAAAACCATAAAGACAAATCAAGTTTGGAGGTCATCCAAATAATGCATTGAATGTTCTTTTCTTTAAACCTTTTTGCCCCCTCCCCCGTCTTGAATAATAAACCAATACGCTGAATTTGTGAAGGTGATTTCAGTGGATAGGTGAAGGTGATCCTAGGGTTCTAGCATATTTCAGTAATGTAAGTTCAGTTTCTATTATTAAGTGCAAAATAGTTATACTACAGTTCTTTTTAAACAAGTTTGCCATTTTGTTCTTTAGAATCTCCTTARTGGTGAGCCATCAAACTTGTAGATGGTGRCCAGACCCAGAAAACATTTGTGTACATCAAATATGCCATTGAAGTTGTTTTATTGATGATTGTATGTGAACAATCATCTAATAATTTTCTTTTAAATGACTGAACCCTATTTCTATTGTAAATTGGCATCTGAAAATTTGATTATTTGATTATTACTCAAGAAAATCCTGCAAGAGATAACAATCAAATTTTCAATGTGGCTAACCCTAACAATGAAGTTACAATAAGGCAACTTGTAGACTTGATGACAGAGGTACTTAGACTAATTAGACTAATTTTCATGTGCATTAGTTTTGCACAACTCTCCAATTAAATAAATAAAAAAAAAAAAATCTACTTGTTCTCTCCAGGTTTACTCCAAATTAAGTAGACAGCCTCCTTTGGAGGTACCTACCATTGATGTAAGCTTTGAAGAGTTCTATGGTGATCGATATGAATGATCCCCTCCATTGCCCTAGAATTCAGGTTGGAACCCTAAGACGTCTCTATTTGTTATACCTACAGACTTCATTCAAGAGTGAACCCCTCCATTGCCAAATTTCGGATGGACATTCAAATCAAAGTAAAAATAATAGCAATTTCTGCAATATTTGTAGCTTATTAGCAAGATCAACTAAATAAATCAAAGCTTTAAATCTTCATGGTTCAATTCACAAAGGCAGCCCAAGATAAAATAGATGGTTTATTTCCTTGAGCAAAGTTCCTTTCCACAACAAAATGGTTAGCATGGAAGTATCCATATTTTTCAAGCTAACAAATGATGGGGTTTAATCTGTTGTTTGATTTCTTCTTTGGCCTTTGATTTGTTTTGACTATTTGAATGTTTATGGTTGCTCTAAAGCATTCCAAGGTCATGGTTGAATTGATATAATGTTCTTCTCTTTTCAATTTAGAAGTGTTGTCTGGTGAAGTCAAATATTTGACTTATCTTCATGCACAGGTAAATGCACTTCAATGGCATGGTGACTGTGGTTAGGTGACAAATCAGGTTTCCATTTTGATTACTTTTTCAGATAACTATTGAAAGGAAAAAATTCTAGTTCTTGGTAAACCTAGGGAAGATGGTGGCAGTGGAAGTCATGCTAATGTTGGGTGCAAAGAGCAGTCATAGCATCCCATCATCAGAGAGAGCTTGCAAGGCTTGCAAAAAGTTAGTGGGCGTGAGCCAACCAGTATTGACAGGGACTCCCACTATAGTTTTCTGTCCTTTTTTCATAATAAAATTAAAAACTTATTTAATAAAGGCTGTATTAGTTGTATATGACTATGTTCCTAGCAACAACACCCAAGAAAAGGCACAAAGAAGCAAAACATGGACCAACCCTGCCAAGCTCAAACTATGAAATCATACAAGTTCTGCTATACAGAAATCATGTTGTAGAAGGATAATTTAATGGGAAACAAATACATTAAGTGCAAATCCATTTGTTCTGGAACACAAAAAGACGTTGTTAGTAGTCTAACAGAATGAACAATATTCAGGATTATAATGAAAATCTTACACAGTTGCATATGTCCCATACAAACAATCCTGTAGTTGATCCAAGGCATCAGGATAAGTCATCAGACATTGTTAGTAAGCTACATACTACAGCCTTTTATAGTGAGAAGTAAGAGACTTTCTCAAGGCATCAGGATAAGTCATCAGACCTTCAAGAAAATTGTGCAGTCATCAGACTTGCAATACACAATTAAGTCATTAGAGATACATATTTTCATAGGGAGGCTTCATAAAAAAGAATATTTTCAATTTCATATAAAAAATGGCACATGTTTAGTGAAGAGAGAAAACATGAAGATCCAAATTCTAACTACACAAAGCTACAAATAGTCCTACTACTWGAAATTTTTKAGGGACTATAATATGATGACGCCCAACAAACACCAACATTGTAGGAGGCAAAACATCAAAAACTCTATTCTCACCCTTGTAGTAAGGTACAAGCTCATAAACCCCTATGAGGATGCCACAACAACTGAGACTTGTTTCATATAAGAGGCAATTACATTTGTCTGGACAAATAAAGATGGTAATTCCATATGCAGTCAAACATAACATAAAAAACAAAAAATAAATAAACAACATAGCTTCCAACATGATATATAGTCATACATCTTAGACATGTTTCATGACATTAATGGAGAATATGGCATTCGTGTTCAAGATATACGGCTATAGATAATGTTGCAAGCTGTGTTGATAGGAGATCCCAACTCCTAGCATTGTACTGACAACTTATCATTGTTGAGAAATTAGTTTTGACTTCCTATGYAGGGGGTTTTCTGAATTTACCCAGATGGATGCCTTATAGTAGTAAATGTGTGAAAATTGCTTAAACTATAGGTTGTTGCCAATTTTTTTTTATTGGAAACGGTAAGGTTGTTGCCAAATGTCGTCAACAAAAGACTTACTTTCTTCTCAAGGTCATCCCCTCCACCACACACACACATTATCTGGATTGGGAACTTTCCCATGACACCAAGAACATTAAATCCTTGGMAACCAAACTAAATATCTCGTTATCCGGATCCCACTGTTAATATATACTCTTGTCAGTAACCTAGAAAGAAATGGTGTTGCTACACCAAAGTTGGTTTGGCATCCCTCCATATCTATGTATTTTTTTTTCTTTTGATAGGTAAGTTTCTCTTGTGACATGGTCAATCTACTTTTGTTGATCCCCAGGCGGATCAGCAACCAAAACCAATATTTATTAATTCATTTAAAGAATAGTTAGATGTTACAATTTACAGTATATGGGAGATATGCCCTGCATCCACAACGGTAAACTAGGTCCACCAATCTACCCCAAGCATATCCTCAACCCCACTCTAAAATCAATCTCACTATGAGACTGAGCCCCAAAGCAGATGGTTTATACTGGTAAAATCATCGGCTAAACTGTTTGTTGATCTTTTAACCATTTGATGGCTGGCTGCTGGTTTCTCCTAATTTCAATAATTAGGAAACATTGTTTTGGAGTGAAGGAGAAGAAGTGGAAGCCAATGGAATTTGAAAAGTTAAGAGAGGTGCAGACTGTAGTGACTAAGTCACATTTTGTTGAAAAAAAAATAAAGAGAAAAAGGAAACAGGGATCTGTATAACCATGAAGTCTAGCTTGTTCTGTTGGGAATGGAGACATATAAAAACCAAAACGAAAACAAAAACAGTAAACCTCAGACATACAGGCAATAACAAATATGTTAGTAACCAAACACTTTAACAGAGAAGGGCCGGCATCTGGGAGAACCAGCTCAGTCTATAATCTATGCATAATAATGGTACATCAACAAAACAAAATCGTTTGCACAAAATTAGACAGTCTAGAAATTGAGAAATGGAAATCTAACATYAACTAMGAAGAAACCATTTACTTACACCACCTTTTTTTTCTTTAGCGTTTACAAGAGATATCACTGCAAGCAACATCTCAAGCTCCTACTCATGGTTCGTGTAGAAGCTTTACTGGTATCCCAAGCTCCTACTCATGGTTGATTCTATCTGTGTGAGTGATTTTTCCTCCTACCGTTCCTAGTATTATAGCTTTCTTGAGGGCAACGAAAAGGGACAGTACCTGGAGATTTCTCTGGGAAAGGAAGAGAGGAGGTAGAAAAGAGGAGAGAAAAGGGAACGAAAAGAGAAAGAAATAGGAAAGAAATGAGAGGAGGAAGAAAGAAGAGAGGGAAGAATCGAAAGAGGAAAAATCAAAAGAGGGAAGCATTGAAAGAGGAAGAATGAAAAGAGGGAACCAGAAGAATCAGAGGAGATTCGGCTTTTTTAAGTGCGATGGTCTTTGGGCGCGCGTTGGTTTTTGGGCGCCAAATCCAAATCAGYGACTACTTTGTTCATCCACCAAAATAGAGAAGCAGAAATTATAATTTCAGAGGCATTAAAAAGCGCCTCTAAAATAATCCAACCAATTTTCCGTGTTTAATGTATTATAGAGGCGGTTTTTTTTTACCGTTTCCGGCCAAGTGCCTCTAAACCTAAGAATTCTAGTAGTGTCAATCTGTTCTTTCTGTTACAGATTGTCAACTATTTTCTAAAAATCTATGCATCCCTCTAATCGATTACAACACCCCAGCCCGAATCAAGGTCAATCAAATTTATTTTATCAAAAATAAGTTTTAGAAGGATGCTTACCGGGAGAAGAATCTACAAGGGAGAAGGCCTACTCTGATTCCATTCCTTCCAACAAACCGGATGAAAACATAACTATCTTGTGAATCCTTGGACACCAAGAAATGAATAGCGTGGAGCACGAATAACAGAGTAGATAACCAGTGAGCAAGAAAGAGAGAGAGAGAGAGAGAGAGAAGAGATACTGAGAGAATGGAAGACCAAGAGAAGTGGAAGCAGTAATGAATGCGCGGCCGCGCGGGCTCCTGGTGCCAAAATTTAGAAAATACCCGCGCAATCAAATAGCAACGGTTCCAAAACCGTGGCCAGGGCTGCATATGAGAAACGAGCATATTACCACGGATAATAAATTCCGTCGCTATACATGATATTTTAGCCACGGTTTTTTGTCCGTTGTTGGAAAAACCGTGGCTAGAGACCATTTTTCTTGTAGTGATATTCATCAGTTGTGTGTATCATCATAAATGGAGCTGGTTGGTTGCTCCCCGATGAGTCCACTTGAAGTAATAAAGAGCTTACAGCTTAATTAAGTGTCTTCCTCTTATGATCTTATCATCTCTCCTCTCCATCTTGCCAATTGTGTGGGAGAGATCAATGACCAAAGAATTTCAAAGGAACGTCTTTGTTTTAGTTCATGATAAGTGGGGAACAGACGCATTTATACTTCGAACCAGTTCAGAATTACTTCTAACTAGGGGTGTAAACGGATCGAATTCGAATCGGATCAAGTAATATCCGAATTCGAATCGGATCAAGCAATATTCGAATTCGAATCTGATTAGAAAATCTGATATCCGAATTCGATTCAATATCCGATGGATATTGAAAATTAATATATGAATTTGAATCTGATTAAGTATTCGAATATTTGATTCAATTCAAATCCGATTAATCAATTATTTTAGATAATTAATAAATATATAAAATAAATATTTTATTGATATAAATTATTTATATAACTTAATTATTATATATAAATTATATAAAATATTTTATATATTATATATAATAATTAAATAATCAATCGAATTCAAATATTTATCGAATCGAATCAAGTCATATCCGAATTTGAATTCGATTAACTATTCGACAAGAATAGGATATCCAAATTCGACCGATTAGATATTCGAATTATCTGAATTCGATTCGATTATGTCGAATATCGAATTTAAAATCAGATTTTCAAATATCGTTGACACCCCTACCTCTAACCAAGTGCTGAAAATTGGGTTTCCCATTTGAGGAATTTTAACCATATTAGTAAATGTGCACATTCGTTTACACGTAATAGTATAAAAAATGATGACGACAATAATATTTGAGGTTTTTATTAGAACTCATGGAAAAGTGATCAAAGCATGATGTACTGGTGGATATATTGTCTTTCAACTCAAAGACCTAATTTCAAATGATCTTATAGTTTCTATCAATGTTTTTAACATGTGGTTGAATCATATAATTGGATTTATGAGTTTGTCAATTGGACACATTTTTTTTTTTTGTATGTTTTAACCTAAACCACTTCATTGCAAAAAAATCATTGACTTGGTCTATAATCAAATGACCTCACTAGTTGAACCATTAACCTAAAATGAGATATGGTTAAGACATTAATTCATTTCTTTTGTATTTTTAACCATTTCTATCTTTACTAATAATAATTCTCATTTTATCAAACATGTTTTTGTTTAATATGTGTAAGTGGTGTGGTAACGCTGAGTGCAGTGGTCTCCTTGAAGGACGGAGAAAGGCTCGAAGACTTGGGTAGCAAAGGTAGGCTACGATCATATATTAACAGATTCATGTGTTTATAAGGGGAGATACCGAGGCCTTGATGAGAAGGAGCCAAAAGGGGTTTGACTCTTATTTAAAAAAGGGGATCTTTGATTCTGTGTCGGTTGTTAGAGAGACAGTGCTAGGGGTTTGCCACGTGTCTCATGAAATCTTTTTAGGACGAAGTTTTCTTTTGTTTGAGGATTCTCATAGTACACGTATGCTACTTCCCTTCGTGGGTCTCCTGTATTGACGTGGTGCGGGTGATGTCAGGACTAGTCTGACGTGTCCTGCTTAACCTACTAGATGTCCTACCACGAGTGACCTTGGTTGATAGTGTTTTCATCTATTGCAGGTCTGCGATGGCTTCGAGTTCATCAGGGGTGTTTGATGGGTTTCAGGTTCATTGCAAGCCTGTGGTGAGTTATGGGCTTCGTCACAAATTCGCATTGACCTATGTGTCGCCGTGGGTGTTTCTATGGCTTTGGTTTGGTACCTTCACACCAATTGCAGTTGTGGTGAACAACATGTACTTACAATATGAAAAATATATAATATTAATGCATGTTCAAATTTTTCTATAAAATTTATAAGAAATTCTATATTTTTACTATTTAATTTATGACATAATAAAAATTACTTATTTACCAAGAGGAAATGCAATTCCAATATATTGTTTGAACATTGGTATTTTATATTGAAATAAATCAATTTATTAGATTGATCAATCCACCACCCAATTCAAAATTATAGATTCATTTACCACCAAACCACTTGCCTATAGTGACATAGCTAATTAAATCATTGAATCATTTGACATATTTAGTGGGGTCATGTATTAGACATTAATGTTCTTTACCTTTTTCTCCTAATTTTTATCTCATTTCCACCATTAATGAAAATAATTCTGATTTGTCACACTTTTTTATATAATGAATATATAATATTATAGAATGTACCCAAATTTATCTATAAATTTCTACCTTTTTTATTTTCTTATTTAATTTTAACATCATGTATTGATCCATTTGACATAAACAGTTGAACCATTATCTTACCACTTGGATGGAAAAACCAATTTGCTTTTTCGTTTGACTTCAAATCTTGTAATTCATTTTCATCATTAATAAAAGTAATTATCGTTTTCATATTTATTTTTGTTTAATATGATGAATATATAATATTAGATCTGGATCAAAATGATTTACATGTTGGTTTAGAAACCAACAAAACTCTAACAATCAGCTATACATTTCAAATTATAAAACCCCCATCATGTCATCAAAGGCTTATGCGACTATTTCCAACATGGGCCTCTTAATCCTTATTGAGCACAACAAAAATAAGACTCTTAATCCATGTTGCGGTGCCCCATGTTGAACACAGGAACATGGTACTCTTAATCCATCTCTTCACTTATGTCCATCTATGTCTATTTAATGTGTATATTACTTTAATCCATGTATTTTAAATAAAATGTGAGTTAAGTTTAGCCCTTGTCATTTGTTTTAAAAATATAGGAATTAACCATCTACCCAACACATCCAAGTGTAATAATATTTGTAAAAGAGTATCACGTCATCATGGTTCGACTTCTGATTTGAAGGTGGTTTAACTTCTGGCTCATGAACTTCTCTCTTGCTAGTTTATTGAACATTGGTAAAAGCATTTATGATGTAGAACACCCCTAAGTTAACGAGAACAATGATTCCTACGAATAAATAATTCTACTAAACACAAAAAACCAAGTGGCAGAGAAACATGCTAACATTTAAGAGCTTATGGTGACAACTAAAACACACAAAATCACCTAGTAGATTAATTACTATAAAGATTATATATTTCATTTTCAGAATATGAATAAGCTAATTATTAAGTAACAAGAAGTAAAGGTCATTTTGATATTTAAATCAAAAGCTTCAAGTTCCTCAACTATTTTTTTTTGTCAATCTTTTTATTTAATAGAAACAAGCCTTCTTTCCACATTGTTTTTTATGGTTTTGAAGCATTTAAACATATATAATAAAATTAGAAAACATCTACAACATCTGATGGTTCAGGATGTTGACGACTGGTTAACAAATCCATGGAAAGAATCCTATTTTTTATATTGGCATGCCTTCAAAGTGAGATGGAGCTTGGAGTTTGCAATTTGGACATTTGCCAACCAGCATTGCTAAAATCCTTCCTGAAAGCCCAAACCTTTTGCAGCACTAGCGCTTCCTTTCTTGGATTTGGCTTTCCATTGTCCATCTCTGTGTTAAGAAAAATCTATCTGAATCTTCTCTTTGTAATTTCTCAAGGGTTATCGTTTTTCTACAGAGATATTAATTAGTAGGGAGAACTACATGTTAGGCATACAATAGTTGTGCACATACTAGGTCAAGAACTTAATTAAGCTTTATGCTTTAATATTTAATATTAATATATAGAATGATTCATTTCTTATTGTAGAGAGAATAATGATAGTGACAATGGTACGTAGAAGTATTTATTTCCCGGTCTCATATTTAATAATTGAGACAAGAAAATAAATTTTCCTATCAAGTGGATATTGACTTGTCTAAAAGATTTTAGAGAAAATTTCTGATCAGAACTTTGTACTTGGCTCCAGAGATAATTTGGTCCCCAAACTTTAAAATGTGATAATTCAGTACTCAAACTTTTAAAATGTAACAATTCAATACTTGTCGTTAACCATCCGGTTAATCAGCCGTTAAATGACATTTGAATAATTAAAAATTCTCTAATAATATCATATAATTCTCTTTATCAACTGTCCAAACATTGACAATAAAATGAACAGTCCCAAATTCTAGATTCTTCTAAATAGACATCAATGTTTTTGAATAAAAGAGGCTAAGATTTGGGACTGTTCATCTTTTTATTAACATTTGGATAGTTGATAAAGAGAATTAGATGACATTGGAACAACATTTTTTTATTTTTCAAATATCACTTAACAGCTGATTAATAAATTGATTAACGGTAAGTATTAGATCTTCACATTTTAAAATTTTGAATACTGAATTGTCCCATTTTAAATTTCTAGCACCAAATTGTCACTCAATCCAAAATACACGAAAATTTTCTCAAAATTTTAATATCAAATGGATCTTGACTTAGCTACAATGATCGTAGGGACGTGACGATGGAGTGGACGTAAATGACGAGTGACAAGCCATGTGCGTTGTCGAATGTATTGTGTGGGTCAATTCAAACCTCGAGCTAGACTTTGCTTTATTCACTGTTTGGATTTCTGTAATCAAACTGCTTCCACTTGTTACACACTTACACTGTGCTGAAAACGGTAACATTTTGTGGCAAGGATGCATGAGATATATTTTTATTACTTCAAGTGGTCATCATTGGAGAAATCAACCGACCTCATTCTATGTTTAATTAATATATACCCATACAACACAACACTGTAAACTAGTCAAGATCCATTTGATAAAAACTTTGTGAGGACGAAAACGAAACAAGCCAGATACAAAATCGAAAACAACTCATCAATGTAAATGAAAAGGCGTTGAAGGTCCAAAGTTCAAATTAATTGCAGTCTTCCCAGCTTCAATTCCTCAACCCTTTGCTGGAGTTATGTGGGAGACGATGATAGAGTAACGTAGGGCTTGGAATGTATAGAGATATAAGAAAATGCTCATCTAACTGCCACCATACAAAGATACACATTGTTTTATTTACGGAAAACCTGCCACAGTGAATGAAGGTATAGTGAAAATTGAGAATATAAAACACAAAAGCACTATCAAAGCAAAAGAAAGGTGGTTTTACAATCCTTACGTGATTATTATGTGCTGAAAAAGCTTATATTCTTCACCCATTAAGGTAAAATCTGCCAAGATATTGTACTTATTCTCACTGATTTAGGGCACATTGAAGAAGAAGGTCCACCGACGCTTGAATGGAAAACGTTTACTATTTCTCTTTGCTGCATATGCAACAACCAGACTGAACAAAATTAATATGGTGTAGGGTTAGTAACCAACAAAAAAAAAAAAAAAAAAGAACAAGCAAAAATAATATATAGTGTGAGATAACAATCCATTTAATTTCTAAAATTTTATTTCTCAGAAAAAGAAAAAAAAACGACAAGGAGAAGAAAGCCGGAATATAGAGAATTAAGAAGATGAAAAACCTTGTTTGCTTGATGTCTCCCACATGACTTACCCTTAGTTTGTATTCACTACTGCCAAGTTGAGAAGTTGTCATCTGTGAAGAGTTAAGTGATCTTTATATAAGGGATGTGGGCTATCTTGTTCCGTTCTTCATATTTTTTGCAGGATTTCCGTAGAAGAGGACAACCACTGATCCGTAAATACTGAACTCGGGAAGGGAGTCTCCCTTCTGGCAAGGATGCGAGCCTAGGAGCATTTTGAATCTCCAATGATTTAAGAGAAGTGAGACCAGTAAACCAATTGGATGGTAGGGCTTCAAGTTTCTTGAAATTGTGGAGTGTTAGATCTTGAAGACTTGTAGGCAGCTGCCACTCCCTCTCTAGTGGAAAGTATTTGAGTCCTGAACATTTCTTGATAGTCAACTTTTCAAGAGATGTAAGCATGTGCAGGCCAACACCTTTGGGCAGGATTTTCCGCTTCTTCTCACCGCATCCACTGAGCTTAAGCTCCTTTAGCTTGTTTGTCGGAAGCCCTTTGTTGGGAAAGGCCTTTAGGCGAGAACATCTATAGATGTTCAACACTTCCAGAGATGTGAAACAGTGTGTCCATTCAGGGAAGGATTCCAGTTGCTTACAATCATCTAAGTTCAAACTTTCCAAGGAAGGAATGGGGTTGGGCACCGGCAACGTTCTTAGCTTGGGACAGCGGTTTATCAGAAGCCACCTTAGACAAGGAAATTGATTGAAATGGAGACCATTGTGCTCGTCACAGTTTGCTCTTCCTCCTCCTAAGGACCATTCTCCATTCCAATTGTCCATTCTTCTTATTTCCAGATGCTTGAGTGATGGTAGCTTTCCTAGAGGCGGGAGGACCTCGCATTTACAGTCGCCCAGATACACTTCTACGAGATTGGACATAGCTGCTATCCAACTAGGAAATCTATTACCGTAATACCCCACAATGATGAGTTCACCTAAGGCATCGATATTTGGTTGAAGACATTCCATTAGTCTCTCGGCCAAATCTCTTTTTCCCACGTTATTCCATTCTAATGTTAATCTCTGCAGATATTTGTTTTTCTTCAAAGTAACATCCTCATTGGCATCTGCAATATTAACCACAATATTCTCCAATCCTGATATGGAAATACTTCTGCATTCCCTAATGCACCCCCACAACTTCAATTCTTCAATTCCATTTCCATGTCCTACTTTGTAATTGAAGGTCCGGATCTTGACAAGCTGAATGTTAACCAGCTTTCTACCCATGTCTTTGGGTAGCTCCAGTATTCCCAAATGCTCAAGTATCAATATTTGTAAATGATAGAGCTTACAAACTGCTTTTGGTAACCTTTCAATATCAGTGCTGGAGAGGTCCAAGTATCTTAGTAGTTTTAAGTTACGAATCGAATCTGGCAATTCATGGATCTTAATTCCTCGCAAACTCAACACACGTAAGCATTTCCATGCAGCAAATAAGCTATCAAGATGTGTTCCAAGCCATGGGATCTCCATGCTGCACCATGGGTAAGGTCCATGCATTAGAAATGTGCGTAGGGAACCACTACTACTCTTCACAAATTGGTCCAATGTAACCGAATTTTCTAGCTTATAATTATCTATTAACTTTGTAGGAAATAATGACAAATGACGAATCTTCTTAGGAGTATTAATATTTCTTCTATTATTCCGTGATGAAAGCTCATTATGTGGTTCTTCTTCTAATCCAAAACATATATCCGTTGAAATGGATTGTGCTAAATCATGAATCAAATCATGCATCACGAATCTACTGAATCTATATTGTAAAAATGACCTGAAAAATAGCTCATCAAAGTACTCACTGCCTATGTCTTCTGTCTGTTTCCTTCCGTCGGGACATATGAGTCCTTCCCCCATCCATAATGGAATTAATTCATCCTTCTTAAATTCGTGATCCTTGGGTAGGATGGAACAATAAGCAAAGCACCGCTTCAGATGTGCTGGGAGATGTTGGTAACTCAGTCTCAGCGCTGGCATTATACCCTTCTCGTCATCATCATCTTCCAATTCCCACATTTTACTTTTCAACACGTATTCCCAGTACTCCTCCACTTTAACTTTGGAGTGCAAGAGGCCTCCAAGTGTCTTCACCGCAAGTGGCACACCTTTACATTTCCTTGCAATTTTTCTTCCAATTTCTTCCAGTTTTGGATTAGAACTCAAAATATTATCATCTATGCTTGCCCATTTCCTTAAAATTGTCCAACAAAACTCATCTCCTAAGCCATGTAGGTGGTGAATAAGAAGAGTGGCCATGATAGATGAAACACTTTCACTTCGGGTAGTCACTATAACTGTACTTCCTTTCTCCCCAAACATTAACGGCTTCTTTAGTTCATTCCAATCCCCGAGTGTCATATTCCAGACATCATCTAGAACAATTAAAAATTTCTTCTCACGTAACATCTCCTCAAGTTTTCCTTGGAGTGGCTCTAAATCGGTGAGTTTACAATCATTCCTAGTGGCAGATTCAATAATAGCTTTTGTTATCTTTGCATTGTCAACCTTTTCATCAGATATAGAAACCCACGCTCTGAGATTGAAATGTATCTTCACATTTTCATCATTATACACCGACTGAGCAAGCGTAGTTTTACCTAGCCCACCTATACCGACTATGGCAAGGACTCCAAGAGTTTCTTCATCAGGACCATTGGACCTCAACAATTTTTCAATTATACTGCTCTTATCAGTCTCTCGACCATAAAAACAGGATTCATCTAAAAAGGAAGTTGTCTGACGTCTTCCTTTTTGGCTGCTACTGCTGCTTGACTCCTTTCCGAGCCCAACAGTCTTTTCCAAACGCAATTTAAAATTCACCCGACTGCTTAGGTCAGCCAGGCTTCCATTGATTTCCCTCATCCTAGATGCTACCATTCTTTTAAGAAATAGAACCTTTGGATTACAGTAAGAAGAGATGAGGCGGCGCACCTTGTTCGGTTTCAATTGCAGTCGTCCAACGTGGGCTGCATACTCGTCCAATATGTCTTCCACATCATATGCCAGACGATTGAGCTCATCTAGCCAAACCTTCACTTCCGACTTCTCATCCTGTTGTTTTGTGGCATCGACGAGTACAGATTGGATCGTCTTCAATGATCCTTCCAGCTTTTGAAGATCTTTGTCGATGCTCAATACGATTGAAACTTCGTTAATAATTTTGCTGGACAACTTGTGAAGTAATATTTGGACAAAGGTTGATACCACTGCTTCTCCCACAAACGCCATGGTCTTGCTTCAAGCTCTGAGCTAGACAGAACAAAACTAGAGATTCAAGTTGAAAGCAGAGGTGGACCTTTTTGCAAATTCATCTCACATTTATAACTTCATATGGTGACAATGGTGATTGGTAATATGGTCCCCCTCCTTCAATGAAGGAACCGAGTATGCCCCTTCCTACCAGCTACTGTCCACCAATTTCTTACCGTAAGAAATTATTTTTTTTTCTTAGAAAGTGCAAACTTTGAACTCTTCTGACATCAAATAACACGTGATCAGAACCATTGACATGGAAGAAGAACATGTTCTGAATAGACCACCAGTAAAACTTAATTCCAATCAGAGGCTTACACATCATCCAGAACTTAACAAGTTTAATTTTTAGAGAAATTTCTAATGTTCAGTAACTATTACTGGACACTAGCTAATAGGAAAGGTGGGATCCCCATAGATGTTAGGCCAAAGGTTATTCCCTGATGATGAGTATTCATGCATGTAAACTGATTCAAATGCAAATTTCATTAAACCATTGGATTCAGATTAATTATAGTTAAACGACCACCATATATACTTTATAGAGTATCTATTTTATATTGAGATCGGCTTCCATTAGGGCAAATTTATGCCCACACCGATCTAACAGCCTTTCCCAACCTCTTGCATTGGGAGTATCTCCCTTTCAAATAAAGCACGTCAGTAGGGAGATATTTTTAAAAAAGGCTGTTCGAATGGGCTTTGCCTTGATTAAAGCCGAACTCTTGAATAAGACCCTACGCTAAGGTTAATAATGTCAATTCCATTGCACTTAATAAAATCTCAAATTACATCAGTTTGGTTGGAAGGTTGATCCAATTGATTGAGATGCATAATATATAGGTAGATGATCACACAACTAAGGTGTCATTAGACCGGTTTTTAATTGGGCCCCGTCCAAAACAAAATCAACTTCGACAGACCAACAAAACATATTGAATTGCACCAATCCAGATATAATGTTCCAAAGTATTTATTGGATTGGATTGGACCTGATCTGTCCATAATGAATTTATATATTGGATTGGGTTGCATTGAAACAATATCTAGTATATTGATATAAGATAAGAATATAAGAATATAGGTATCAATGGACTGGGTTTGGGTTGAAACCAATCTAAATTAAAACAAATTTTAACAGATTGAATGGTCCAGACATTGAAGTGGACCGGTCCAAAATGGTCCAAAATATTCATTAGATTGGACTGGACTTGGTCCATTTGTAATGGATTCACATTTGATTAGAGCAGATTGGACCAAATCCAATCCAATTGACACCCCCTCACACAACGAAGAAAAGTTTTAGATTTTTCCTATATATTTTGCAATAATTCTTCCTTTTTTTTTAAAGTAGTATGTGGTGAAGGGTGATTTGACACGACCTAGTAAGAAGGGGTCACATGGACGCGTTTTGCTCGAGGGGTGGCAACTCAACCAAAGGAACCTAGTCCGCAACAATCGGAGCTCGAGTATTCAGTCACTTCGGCCCAAAAACCACCTTGGCGTAGAGACACCTCGACACCTAGTCCAGTCGGAACTAAGGAACCAAAGTACCAATTCAGAGCTAAAGAGCCGAAACGCTACATAATCGACTCGAAAGGCCTCCCCAATGGACCCCAAATTTCTCGGGATCACGACGAGACTCATCCTAACTCCACCTAAATCAGAGAAAAACGATAAACCTTATCAACTGACATGTTGCTCTCCTTCAAAAACAAAATAGATCTTATCCTCATACCCGAAGGTCCCATAGCTTTTTCGTAAGGTCCACGACTACTTTACTATATAAGGACATCAAACCCCAAGGCAAAGGTACGCGTGATTATTTACTTACTAGCACTCAAGCATTCAAGTATTCAGCTCGCATCCACAATATAGAACTGACTTAAGCATTGGAGCGACCTCGCCGGGTTAGTCACCCCGGGTTCTCTGATCTATTATTTTGTAGCTTGGTCCAACTCGCTGCACAATTGGCGTTCAAATCATCTTCTGACTAGGAGTATCCAAATCGCACACCATCAATTGGCGCCGTCTATGGGAATTAATCGAAAGGTCATCCCAATTTCAATTGTAATTCTAGCTTTTGATTTATCTTAATGGATTCTTCTAGTAACATCGGGAAAAGCATCGAGATGAACATCACCAGGGGGTAAGATCAGCAACCAGCCTTCCCCCAAGGTCCCACGGTATGCAACAATCAGTTTACTATTCCCCTTATAGCTTCAGTGGTCCCGTCACTATTTGTACTATAGAGCACTATGCAAGTGAGTGTCCTGCTTCACCCATATGTGGTCCCCCTTGGAATCGAGCACTCCCAATTCCATGATCTTGTTTAGTGTGTCTAGACAATATATATCCAAATGCAACAGGTCCAATAGTTCTAATAGTATCAGTAGTACTACTTGTACTAGTAGTATCGGTAGCAGTTCCTGCCACTACAGCCGAACCAGAAGCCAATTCTACCTCGGCACCTAGAGTTGCACCCGAACTAGAACCAGAACTAGCTAGGAACTAGCTAGAACCTCCATCGATCCCCCATCAGGGTGAAGGGACCTCGTGGGTGCTAGTTCCTCCTAGGGATTAAGTTTCACCTCGTGGGAGGAGAGATGGTCAGCACACTCTTCCAGTCTCACAAGGAAATTTTAGAAATAGGCTCGAGGATAGCCAGCTCAACAGGGCCAATCCGGCATGACACTCCCAAAAGGAAAACAACGGATCGCAAGGAGATAACAACCAGCCCGAAGTTTGAGGTGCAAACTCGAGATAGGACCCCTCGATGCCTCGTGATAGCCAGTGCAAACTCCAAAACGAGGAGAACCCCACAAGAAGGAACTAGAATCCACCTTGCAATAATGTCCGCAAAGATGCCGAGATACTAGATCAGTCCAAGGTGTGCAGCACCAATGCTGAACCGGTGAAGAAGTAGCAATGGCGACGCCACAAGACACATTGCTCCTCGACCAAAAACCATCCACCAGCGAAGCCAAGCCAACAAGTAGAGCGAACTAAAGAAAATGAAGAAGTGAGCTCAGTGGTAATGAAGACTACACCTCCCTTGCTTTGTTAGTTATCTCCTTTGTCTCCTGAACTCCTAGCAACCCTGATGCCAAAAGGCTTCAAGGTACCCCTGTTAGATAAGTATGATGGGTCGTTTGATTCCAACGATCATGTGGATTACTTCTAGTCTCAGATGCACTTAGTTGGGGCCGATGAATCCTACATGTGTGTGGCCTTCTCCAAAACTTTCAGGGGGCTAGTCCAGACCTAGCATCTGAACCTCACATTAGGCTCCATCAAAAGCTAGGCACAATTTGCTGATTTGTTTACTGTGCATTTCATTACCAGCAAGAAATGCCCAAAGTCACAAGAAAGCCTTTTGAACGTGGTTCTGAGGGAAGGAGAATCAATCAGAAGCTACATAAAGCGCTTCAACGATACTTGCTTACAGATATCGGACCTTGATCCAGTAGTACGGTTCATTGTAGTAAAGAAAGGAATTGCCCATAAAGAATTCAAGTGGTACGTGGTAGCCAAAAAACCAAAAGATATCACTGAGTTCCTTAAGTTGGCAGACCAGTTCATCGGTACTGAGGAGAAGATCAACCAAAAAATTGACAATCCACCGGCAGAAAAAAGGAAGATAGAGAATGAAAGGACGAGCAATGGTGGACAGAAAAGAAAGAAGAGCAAGTCCCCACGCAGGGGAAGAAGCAAGTCAAGAAGTTGGTCCCCTTTGCGCAGGCACAAGTTAGGTCAGCGTTGTAGGACCCCACCCATGGAGACAACAAATTATACACCTTTGAATGCTAAGCGAGGATCTTAATGGCTATTAAGGATTCCTCCTTCATCAAATGGCCTCCCAGGTTAAAGGGAGTCCCAACAACAAGAAACCCAAATGTCTATTGCCATTTCAACCGAGATCATGGACACAACATAGAGAATTGCAGGGATCTCTGTGATGAGATCAAGGAACTTATCCATCGCGGGTACTTAAACAATTACATACTACGAGAAGAGAGGGGGCAAGAAGACCGATAGGGGGACCAGAGGAGGAATGCCCCCGAGACCAGCAGGTAGGATGAGCAGTCACCTCAACAGCTGCCAGAGGAAAGGCTAGTTCGTAGAGAGATCAATATATTCACTAGCTGGTCCATCATTGACAGATGTACATTAGTAGCTGGGAGGACCTCGGTCCGCAAATTGGAAATTGAAGGCAAAAACCTGCCAAAGATACCTTGGCTCAAAGAATCGATCTACTTCACAGAGAACGTTGTGCACAAGATCCAGTACTCGCACGATGATGCTTTAGTAGTGAAGATAAGGATCAATAACTTCAAGGTGAAACACATCTTAGTAGACTCAGGTTGTTCGGCAAACATACTCTTTAAGGAGACCTTCGACAAATTACAATTATAACAGAGTGACCTGAAATTGATGGATACACCTTTGGTAGGGTTCATTGGTGAGGAGGTCAGGCCTCTTGGTCAAATCACAATACCTGTAGAAGGCGGCACGTAGCCAAACATCATACGATTTGAGCACACATTCTTGGTAGTGACGACTCCCTCCCCCTACAATGCATAGTAGGTCGGCCTATCACTCATGTTTTGTGTGAGATAGTGTTCACTTACTACTTAGCAATGAAGTTCCCAACTAACTACGAGGTAAGAGTC